TGAAATGGAAGGTTCAATTTCCAAACCTTTAATAATCAAGGTAACGAAAATATATGAAGTTAAGTATTCTTATATATGGCCAGTTAAGAGTAAAATACTGATACATGACACTGAATTGAGTATTATTTTATTAAAAGCTCATCTATGGGATACATTTGGTAAAAAAACAGGTTATAACGTTCCAGGTTATAACGATCCGCGCAAAAATGCACCAAAACGGTGATAAAACATTCACAGTATAAAATATCACTTCTAATAGCTTCGCGAAGCTATTCAGCTGCATAATCATCGTCAATAAATACAAAATAAATAGAATAGTGATGATGCGTAAGTCCATGGTTTTATAGTCCGGAATGCAGAAGCCAGCTGCATTTATGTTTGTGTTTCCATGAAAGCCAAGTACCAGGCCGCAAACCAAATATAGAAGCATCAGCAGAAAAGGCTATTGACGCTTTCTTCATTTTAGTAGCCTCTCATTTGCTTTATCCACGCCAGAAAATGAGATACTCTCGTATAGACATCTGGGAATCCTCTTTTGGCGCACCCGGAGCCAAAGCTCGTCAAGCCAGCTAACACCCAACCTCTGTCCTGTGTTTGACAGGCGAGTGGTCCTCCAGAATCACCCTGATTAAAAAAAGACAGCACTTGAGTTCAAAATCCATTACCTTTAACGCTATGTACACATACTAGTTTTCATAATTTAGAATAATTATATACAGTCGAAACTTCTTTAGCGACCACTCTTGTTTAACGGAGGCTTCGCATTTAAAGGGTCTTTCCTGAATCCCTGGATCCTTAAAATAGGACATCAATGTATTTCAACTCCGATAATTGACACGCTTGACAGCGAAGCAAGGAAACTTGTTGACTGAAGAATTTTGTTAGTGATCGGTTATTTTTTTGACAAATGAATAAAAGAAGAGTCTCTTTTAGAAAAGCTCTTTGTTCTCAAAATTAAGCATAGAATTTGGGACAGTAAAGGTTCAAACCTTCAAACACACGAATCTGAAAACAAATGTCGTAGGCGGAAGTGAATTCCCATCTATTATCTGAGGTTTCATGAATAGTGGGGAAAGATGTGAAAAGAAATTCTCCCACCGACGCGAAGCTTTCGCTTTCTTCTACCGATTTTTCACAATTCCACCAGCGGCCGAGCGGTAAAGTCGCTGAACACTGGTAGTTCGGTCCGAGGTTCGAATCCCGCGAACGGACTGGCTGCGTGGGCGTTTTCGTGGTTTTCCCCATGTGTAACGTGTATACGAGCCAGTTTCCCTTAGAAAGTCCTCCACGAAGGCATCCCTCCCCCTTAGGCAGATAGCCCTAGTGTGCTTTGCCGTAATTAAATAAACCAAATAAAATAAACTTCTTTTTTTCCGAAGTCGCGATAAGACATAAAAATCTAGCATCAATCAACACGAAACATACATTTTTTCGCTTTAACTGAATTCTTAACCTAAGTAACCGAGGATAACCGAATGTCTAGGTAGTCTGATTTAGAGTGTGGCTGATTGTTTGTCATGGTACCTAAACGCAAAATTTAATGTTAAAAGAGAAAAAAATAGGTTATCGATGTTTCATAAAAAAAAAAAAAAAAAAAAAAAAAAAAAAAAATTAGTGGGAAAGGCACACACCAGAGAATTTGGGGGGGGGAAGCAAATGAAAAGGTGGAGGGAGGAACCTGGATCTGCAACAGCAACGAAAAATGCAGAAATATCGAAACTGATGAAGGTGCATAGCATAATGATTCAAATGGCTTTTTCAGATTTTTCTACACTCGCTAGCAATGTTTCTATACTTATGTACTTTTGCTACAACAAAATGGTGAATAATGAAAAAAATACGGACTTCAGTTTCGAATTGCTAGTTCGAAAAATTAAGTATTAAAGCATAACGGGTCATTTAAATCAATTTGTGGTAAGTCAATCCAGGGTCTTCTAAGCTAGTGACAGAATGAATAAAAATACAAACAGAATGAAACCAGTCTCCCTTTTTTTACTATCATCAAACCAAATAATGCTTTTAAAAAAATGTAAAATAAATTAGAGGCTTTAAAAGACTCGTTGAAGTTGTTGAGTGTACAGTATGATCGATGCTTTTAAAACACACGTTGTCATATGGAAGGACAAGGAAGTTAAAATGTTTTAAGTTTATAAATTCTAGCAAACTAAAATGCAATGAAAAAACAAAACCAACCAGGATGGTATTAGAAATCATGGCGAAATGGTTTATTTAATTCAGGAACATCAAACGTACAAAACAGGTTTACTCTTTAATTAATAAATAACGTTGCTATCACTTAATATCATGACTGGGTTAAGACGATAGTCTTTACCTTGTCAAGAGATTTTAAAGGTTTAAAAGTAAAACTTAGAAATAATTTTCGACCACCAAACACTGCTTAGATGGGCCAATCTTTTGATAGAAAAATAATTTAAAATCATGCAAAACTTTATCAAACTTATCCTGCCTGGATAACCAGGAATTAGCGAAATCTATATCTCGCTTGATATTAAAAGCTGCTAAAGGCACCAGCTTCAGCTGCGTGCAAAACTATTTACAGAAGGCAGAATTTAACCAAATTACTTTGTAAAGGTTTCATCCTTACTTGAAGTTTTAATGGCGGAATTAATGTTGCAGAGTACAACGTAACTGATGAACATTTATGTCCAGAAGAATAAAAAATAAAGAGATAAATAAAAAATCAAGGTAAAAAATAAAAGATATTTCATTAACACAGATGAAGACAGACATGAAAACATAGAAACAGAAACTGGCAACTTAAGTAACATGCTAATAAAAGATACACTGAAATACATTGATGCAATTAAAACTTCTTTCTTGAATCATGGGGACTCTGGAGTCAATATGAAGAATTTGAAAATTCATCTCAAAAAGAATATGGCAGAGAAAAAGAAAAAGAAAGTTTAAAATAAAAGCATGAAAAGCTGTTTATACAAATTAATATTTAATGATTTCTATAACTGCATGCACCTGTTTTACTAAATTCCCTTTTTAAAGTTAAAAAGTAAGTTATTTCTTATTTCATTTGCGCAGTTTTCTTTTAATTATACGGCCCACTAGCGCTGAACACTGGTAGTTCGGTCTGAGGTTCGAATCCCGCGAACGGGCTGGCTGCATGGGCGTTTTCGTGGTTTTCCCCGTGTGTAACGTGCATACGACCCCGTTTCCCTTATAAAGTCCTCCACGAAGGCATTCTTCCCTTCAGGCAGATATCCCTCGTATGCTTTGCCATAATTGAATAATCCAATCCATTTTAATTATACATTTTCAAATTCATTCATTCATATTTAATTAATTATATGTAATACTACTTATGTTAATGAATTCTAATTAAAAACATTTTAAGGATCTTAAGCGCAAAACAAATTCGTTTTCAGACATTGCACTCCCCTTTAGCGGACACTCCCAGGTAACGTTTACAACTTTGGTCCCGTAAATGACCGCTAATGAGAGAAGTTCGACTGTATATATATGCAATATATAAAATTTTGACTAGCAACAGACCAAAGGTCCAACATGGCTAACCAGAAATTTATCTTAAATAACAGCGCATATTACAATTCTAAAGAACCCCCCCCCTTGCTTTTCTGTGTTTTTTAAGCTTTTGTCCGTCTTCAAAGGTCGGCATGTCAGCAGTAAAAAATATTCTGATTTCTGATATCTGAGATCTTGAAGAGTTTCCATGGTATTCAACATAAACAGGTAAGCTGTTCCACCTGCAGAAAATTTCATCATCTTAATTACTTCAAGTATGCCTTCTCCTACCGCTTTTATTATGTTAAAAGTATATTACGAATTTTGCTTATCAACAAATAAGTTTCTTCAAGCTAATCTAAAATTAAAAGTTACTCTACCAAATTAAGTTGTAATCGGTACATGGTCTCATTAAAACCAAAATACATGCAATGTTGCAATTGCATGAAAATGTTTGCAGTTATTTAGAAATTCTATCTAGCCTTATCTATTTCATATTCAAAATGTGAAGCCTCACCTTTATATGCCCAATAAGATATTCCATTATCCATATCTACCTGAAAATTTGTACCTAAATATTTACATAAGCTCAAATTATCAACTTGCTACATGCTCACCATCATATTATCCACATACTTACTCATAAAGATGGCGTAAGTAACGAAGTGGTCTCAAAACTAAGTTCTTCTGCGGTCGGGACTGATATATTAAACAATACAAGGAAATTTTAAGTATAAAATTATCATACAAGGTTTCTTATTGGAACTGTTTATTTTTATTAAATTACTTACCCCTTGTTAATGAAAATCACCAGTTTTCTGTATATAAACTCACAATAGGAATAAATATCATAGCTCTAGGCATATTACCATTTCTTCCAAGTGCAAAGAACGACGGAGAGGAATAGACAATACTAACAACTAATTCTCAAAGAAATAAAATTTTGTAGTATGTAAGTTTCTACATTTACTGCTTATTACTTTATAAAGTATTTCTCTCTCCTTCTTGGCGAGCCTTCGTGGTGTAGAGGTTTGCACACTGGACCGGTATTTCTGAGGTCCGTGGTTAGATTCCCGGCGAAGGCGATTGCATATTTTTCATCTTGTCTGCTTCTCAAAAAATCCTAATGACTCTACAACTTGATTTTAAAAGTCTGATTGCAAGCACTAATTATACACTCCGTATTCTCAATTAACTATGACCCTTTGAACCCTGCTAACAGAAGGCCCTAATCTAACTATTTACGACAGACAAATAATGTCAACAAAACAATCCTGTAAACTCTCTTCTCAGAAGAAGGGGGAAGGGTGTCACTTCAGCATTTAAAAAAGTGAATTAGTATTTACTGATAATCTTACTTTTCGTTTCATGAGCTTAATGGCGTTTTTTGTCATTTTCACTCGTGAGATCAGGGTCTTGTTACTTGATACAATATTTAAATAAAGGTTATTAGAAAAAAAAAACCCTAAGAATAAAATTTACAATTTTCTTTATTTGTTTCTTACCTGACACGTTCCTTTACCTCCTTCAAGAGTGCCGGCGCACAAATGCCAAGGTTGGATTGGAATTCTAAATTTGTTGGTGTATTCAATGCATTTACTATTGTCAAAAATCTGAAGGCCAACAGCACGAAGATCGTCGGAAGCTTTAGATGCTATGGGGAATGAAAAGAAAAAAAGTTAAAAGTATGATAAAGCAGAAGAATACATTTCACTGAATACAATGCACCATCATGATGATATAATGCTAAATATCTTCATAAAGAAATAATTGCTTTTACAAATGAAATAAATATAACATTTTTTTTATCGCTCAAAGGCATTGTTGAAGAATAGTTCCGAATCTTTAAACAATAAAAAAATAAAACTTTTGCTTACACCTGTTTAGTCTAATACATACTAGTATCAAACCTCATAAAATCATTGTATTTTTTAAAAGTAAATGTTGTAGACCAGGCGATGAGGTTTTTTTTTTTTTTTTTTTTTTTTTTTTTTTTTAAAGTCTAAACGGGCCTTGTCTCTGACGGACTATTGTTTTCATTTTGCGATTTTGGGTCGAATAACTCTGAATGTCCATTTCACTTTTCAAACTGTTGCCACCAAATATTATCGCCCTCTATTACATTTGAAGAAATTAAATAATGAAGAATCTGCATAAATGTAAGTATGCTTCTCGCATTGTGATAAAACAACGGTACCTAGAGCCATCGAATTTTGAATGACGTAATCTTACAGCAAATATGGGCATCTGAAAGCCCAAATTTGAAATTTGGAATTTGTTTTATTATCAATCTCATATTTTGTAAAACTTTAACGAATTTTTGATTAACAAACTCAAAGATTTCAATGCGAGCAATGGCAACGTTGTACAGGAAAAAAAATTATCTCCAGCGCGTGAGACTGTGTATCGGAAATTCTAGATATGCTCAATTAAAAATTATTTTACGATATTGCTCTTGAACTAAATTTCATGGTTTAAGTGTGAAGAACATGATATTTAATAAATAAAGGTAACACAGAAAATGTTAAAAAAAAACCGCCCTTTTGGACGTAATTTAAAATCCGAAACCTTTCAGACTTTCTTTTCTCTTGTTAATCTTTTTTAAATCTTTCTGGTTTTGTGGTGGTCTTCAAATTCATTTACTTTATGCTTACCAAAAAATATCAGTCCATCAAGCTGCTCATAAATATGGATTATAAGAGCAATTCCGATTGTTTAATTCTCTGCACTTGCATTTGTAGACACATTAGGATTTTTTGGAAGCAGGGGACTTGAAAAATGAGCAGTGCCCTCGCCGAGAATCGAACCACTGACCCCTAAATAAGCGCCGAGCGTGCAGACCACCACACCACAAAGGCACGCTAAGAAGGCGGGAGAAATACATTATACTCTCACCTTTTAAAGGGTGGCTGGGGATAAGGGGACCCAATCGGCAAATCCTGGTGTTGAAAATTCATCATTCACTACCTTTTAGTTCGGGCGCCACTGTAGAGACATTAGAAATTTTTTGGAAGCCAGAGAGATGAATAATGAGCAATGCCCTCGCAGGGACATTGCTCATTTTTCATGTATCTTGCTTCCAAAAAAGACGAGTTCCGTGGTTCGTCCAACCTCTCGAATACGCGTCGAGCGTGCTGACCACTACACCACGAAGGCATGCTAAGAAGGCGGGAGAAATATCTTATAAGCTAACTTGTCTGAATTGCTTTTCACTGTATAAGCTCCAATAAAGTGCCGATGTATCTTGTCAACTCTTTGCGTAGGCCTTAATTTAAGATTAAAAATCTTACAATGTAATTTTCACCTTGTGCTTCTTTCCGAATCGTTCTCCGTTAAAGGGTATGGACACAAATATACTTAACAGTTATTTAATTTAAAAAATGTTAAAAAAATTGTATGAAAACATTATTTAACAAATAATTTTAAAAATCTGAAAGCTTTTAGATTTTACATTACACCCAAAGGGACATTTTTTTAACGTTTTGTGTGTTACCTTTATTTATTAAATATCATGTTCTTCGCCCTTAAACCATATAAAAATGCAATCCAACAGCAATATCGCAAAATATTTAAAAGAACATATCTTTAGAATTTCCGATACACAGTCTCGCGCGCTGGAGATTTAAAAACATTTTCTCCTGTACAGTGTTAGCATTGCTCGCTTTGAAATCTTTGAGTTTCTTAATCAAAAACACATAAATGCTTCACAAAATATGAAATAGACAGTAAAACATATTCCAAATTCCAAATTTGGGCTTCCAGATGCCCATATATGGGTGGAGACATGGGTTATTCAAAATTTGATGGCTCTAGGTACCGTTGTTTTATCACAATGCGAGAAACATACATACATTTATGTAGATTCTTTATTTAATTTCTTTAAATATAAAACAGGGCGATAATATTTGGTTACAACAAATTCAAAAGTGATTCGCCTTTTACAGTGAATCAATGCAAAACGCCAAAAGGAAATAAATAGCCCATTTCAGCTAACGCTCCTTTGGGTTAATAATACACTCATATCCATAAATTAAGGATAATTCGGAGTCACGCGGAAATCGAACTCTAAAATAAATATATCACCTGTAAAATCACTACACACATCTTCAAGAATCATATGCAAATTTCAGAAAGTAACCAGATGACACCGATGGTACGTCACAATGAAGAGAGTGTAAGAGAGTGATACGTAAGGAATACAGGCAAAGAAGTAAAATTGTTCGCAGGCGCTTTATAAGCATTTCAGTGTAATAACCGAAATAGTTATGATCCAAAGGACGCATTTGGATGATTTTTTACGTGGTAGAATTATCGGCCGACTGGAATGTGGGCGTAGCCAACTGTAAGTATCAGACGAACTTGGAATTGCCCAGAGTGTCATCTCCAGATTTTGGCAACGATTCCAAGATGATGCTAACGTGAGTTGACGTTACAGCACAGGTCGCCCCAGAGTTACAACGCGGAATGAGGACCGGTATTTGGCAGTTACTGCCAAAAGAAACAGGCGGAGCACAGCCTCAGACCTGTCTCGTCAGCTCTCTTCAACCACTGGTACGACAATTTCAAGGTAGACCGTGTACAGACGCTTAGGGCAGATTGGTCTATATGCTCGTAGACCTGTCAGATGCGTTCTACTTACTGCAACTCACTGTCGCCTGTGGTTAGCCTGGAGTAGAGAGCATGCATTGTGGACACCGCAACATTAGGCTTGTGTGATGTTTACCGACGAGTCCAGGTTTAGCTTGCAGTATGATTCTCGCCGGACTTTCATATGGAGAGCTCCAGGGACCCGTTACCACCAAGAAAACATCATTGAATGACACCGTTACGGTGGTGGTGAGGAGTGCTCGTTTGGGGTGGAATTATTCTAGGTTCCAAAACTGACCTGCATGCTCAAATTGGAACCATGACAAGCCAAATCTATCGGGACGTCATTCTGGAAAAACATGTACGTTTGTTTCGGGGTGCCATGGGAGCACAATTTGTGTTTGCGGATGACAACGCCCGTCCTCACCGTGCAAACATCGTAAGTGAATGCCTTCAATTGGAGGATATCACCCGTATGGACTGGCCAGCATTCTCACCGAATTTGAATTCAGTAGAACACGTGTGGGACATGCTTGGCCGACGAGTTGCAGCCCTTCAACCTCCTCCTACATGTCTACCGGATCTTCGGAGAGCATTGCTTTTTGAGAGGTGTAATATCCCCAAGATCAGATCGGTAATTTGATACTCAGCATGCCTAGGCGTTGTACGGACTGTATTGCATCGTCTGGGAGACATACAATGTATTAACAATCATACCAACCATGTAATATTGTTTTTTTGTAAATAGGGTTTTTTTTTTTTTTTTGGTAATTTGCTCCAGGGAGAAAAAATCGCTAAGTTTTTTAATAATATCAAACATATAGCATCTTTTTTTGCTCTTTACCTTTTGTTTAATAAATAAGCTTTACAAATAAGTCAAATTTGTTTTGCTTCTAACTCTTCCTTTGGGTGATTTTGCATTATCCTTAATTTATGGACATGAATGTAAATCACTATGTTTTCCAGCTGATTAGTCTCAAAACATTGGATTTAAAGTCAAGTTTAGAAAATGAAAAGATGATGCAAAAATATCGCTGCTGTTTAACAGCAACTCTTTCTTAAATATGGCGTTTAAAATTTTAGCCTTTTAAAGCCTTTTAAAATTTATAGTCTTCTATTTCCCAAATAAAGGTTGTTTGGTAAATCAGGAAAAAAAATTAACATAATCCTAAATTTTGTAAAATTTACCATAGAAAGTAAAAATATTTTATTAACACCTAAGAAAAGTTTATGTGTTACTCATTTTGAAATAACGTTTCTATATTGAAACAGATATACAGCACAGATTAATCTTTTTATAATATTTAATTCAATTTTAATTTTATCGGAAAATAATTACTAATATACTGCAATGGTCATTAACAAATATCATGCTTCTAACATCTGTTATTAGTATGAAACCTACGCATATTTATTATCAAAGAGTTGATTAAATCTTGGCAAAATCTCGATAGTCGAATCCGATTTTCTTCATCAAGTTTGAATCTGTACTAGGTTTTTGGCAGTCACTGCTGAAATTCTAGCTTCCTATTGGTGGGGGAGGGGTATAGAAATAAGGAATACCTTCACAGATCTCTTATTCAGTCGCAGAAATTCGTATTTTAATGAATTCCGAAACTGGCAGTGGTATGGATATAAACTTCACTAGTGAAATTTTTACCAATTTTTTCTCTTACACAGTACTAAATTCTAGAACAGTATCATGTCTAGAAGGATTATAAATAGACTGAAACCTGTCACAGGCTTCCAAAATGTGTTAGTCAAAGAAAACAAACGAGCTACGCATTCTCAAATTGCTGATAAAATATCTGCAGTAAAATCTACTTCACTGTTTATAGTAAGTTAACTTTGAACTGCCTTCCTTTATTAAGATTTTATTTTTCAAAGATAAAATTCTTCTTTGAAGACCACAATTTGTTGAACTAAATAGTTTCACTTCTTTTACATAAAACTTTTCAAAACGTAAAACTTCTCGAAAATATTTTATCTTTATGCAATTTATTTATGAATTTCAATACAAAGTTATGCCACTTCTAACATGAAGTTTGCACCCAAAAGGCGCCTGTCACAAGCATAGATTTCATCGTAAAGATAAAGATTTTCCATGCATTTAAAAACAAGAGATAATATATTTCGTTGAGAAAGATGATCAGTAATACTGCAAGGGAGGGAGAACAATACTTAGTCTCATACCTTGACACATTTGTTGATATTCCATCTTTCTGTAGTTTTAATAAAGTCCACCTTATTGTTTTATTCAAATCAACACTCAAATTTGGGAAGGGCGGGGGGGGGAATGTTTAGCTTTGAAAAATACGAAAGGTCCTAATCCGAGTAGGAACATTTTTCAAGAATGAATGCTTTTAAGCCACTCTAACAGTCTATTATTTAACAAGCCTCAACTCAAAGAGATCCGTTTTATATATCACTGTGCTGCTATACTCAATTTCAAGCAATTATTTGTATATCTATCAGAAGTGGTAGTCAAAGTCAAAAAAATCTTTACATAGCTTTTTTGACTTTGACTACCAGAAGTGGTAGTCAAAGTCAAAAAAGCTATCAAAAGCAATTGATAATGTTCATGATTAGATTGGAGCAGACTGATTAGCTGGAAGCTATACTGAAAAATGCGCGTGCTTCTTTTAATGTATTAATATCTAATATTTATTATTTGAGCAAAAAATTATGATTACCCACCAACCTTAACCCTTTCGCTCCCGGTGGTCTAACACTGAAACAACCTATTCAAAATTCTGCAGAATTTTGAATAAACGAAACAGGTCGTTTTCTTCATTCATTCTTTCACCTGATGCCACGAATATCACAAAATTTGCGAAGTGTTCGGCTTAATTAAAGTTGTACCATAAAGGCGCTTCACGTAATTACTACTTCAATTGAAATTCTCAAAAGAGAAAAATTAGTGAAGGCTGGAAAACAGGAGAACAGGGAATAGGGTTATAATTGAAAGGAGTACAAAATGAAAGTCATAAAACAATTACTAAAGGATACACAAAATGGAAATAAGAGTTTGAAGTAGAGACAAAATATAACTACATACAATATATACAATTGCAGGAGTGCATACGTTGAGCTTAGGACGGATGGTTGAGCTTAGGACGGTCTCTTAAAAGGTGAGCAAGATATAAACGTAATTCTTAATATTTTCAATATGATCATTCAAATTATTTAGTTTTCCCTTGAAATAAAGACCAAAATTTTTGGCTTGATTTCATCAAAGAGAACCAAGTTTTTCTTTAGTAATGTGTTCATATGCTTTTTACGAATTATTAAAAGCTTAGATTTCTGGGCATCGATAGTTCTCCATTTCGTGCACCAATATTCAATGCTTGGCTTTAATTCTTGAAGTTTTTTAATGGCATGATTTGCGTTTGCTGGTTTAACTGCCAGTGCAGTATCATCGGCATAACAGCTCATTTTGTTTTATTTTCTGGTTTAGGAAAGTCAATCTCATAGAATAGGTAGAGAATAGGGCCTAAACTGGAGCTTTCTGTAACTGCAGACTTAATTTTTCTGAAGTCTGATTGTGCTTTACTAATAGTAACAGTAAATTTCCTATTGCGCAACCACCTGCACAAGACGGCATCTTTTGGCGCGTAGCGGAAGCTTCAGTACAAAATGCAGCGTTGCATTAATATTGGCATTTTCTTGGTGTGATACCATTTGTGCAGTGCATAACCGTGCTTTTTGTGCAATACAATATCAATATCACTTGTGTAATGTCTGTTAAGCTATTTTTCCAACGTTGGTGGCAATTTTGGTAATTTGTTGAGGTGACAACTACAGATTCATACATCTTTTTTTCTGTATAAGGTGTGAAGGTGAAAGACGACTGAAAGATTTTCGAATTTCTGTAGCGAGAGGATTGATAGCACTGCGTGAACATGAAAAACGTGGACGAAAAAGTGAAGACATCGACACATGTGCCAGAAAATACAGAAGTTTTCTTCCATCTGAGATTCGCCAACAAGCAGCGGCGCATATGCCAATATGTGGGACAACTTAGAACGTAGTTTATGCAGTACAAAAGCTGAATCCTATCGAACAAAATAGCATCCCACAGTTTCCTATTTCGAACTCTTGACTGAAAGATAAGAACTGTTATCTACAGTATCATCAAAAATAAATCTAGACATATAGTTTTAGTGGTATTGTAGTCTAACCACTATATTTTTTATAATTACTTTAAAACTGTTTATATTAATCTTTACCAATATGTTAGCCATGGGACAAGCAAATAAACTTTTTTTTTACTTTTTTTTTTTTTTTTTTTTTTTTTTTTTTTTTTTTTTTTTTTTGAGAGCCAAAAAGCTAGAGCACCGAAGCACAAAAACCAAAACAATGGTGTTATGCAATACAAAAAAAGTTGTACTTAAAAGTGAGCTACGCTTTAACTTCAGTGGATTTTGCTTGCCTGTACTTAGAATAATTTAATATCTGAAAGGAAATAATTATAAAGTTAAGATCATTTAAATAAAACTTTTTCCCAATGTTAATAATTTCGGCTAATTTCTAATTTTATGTTCATATTAGATATTTCTAATTTTATGTTCCTAATTTTGCTCTTAAGTCCCAAAGTACTTAGAATTTCATTACATTGGTTCTGATACATAATTTATTAAATCTCAGCCGACAAGCGCTTTGGAGTCGCAACACAGTTTTGCAAAGACATAAATATTGCGCGCTCTGATAAACATAGATAAGCATAATTATTGGATGTGCTAAGTCAACAAGAATTATACATAAACTGGCAGGATTTGTGCCGATGATTGAAATGCAGAACCTGCTTCTTCAGCTGCAGAAGAGTAAAATGAAGAAGGTTCCATATTTAAATCTTCGAAATTAGGCTGCAAATTTATGAATATTAGGCTGATTTTTGTTACCTTAGTACCTCCAATAATTGTCATTCGACCTGTTATTTTAACTCAGATTTATGGTTTAATAATAGAAATTAATAAGTATTATTTTATTTTATTCGAGATATTTTATTTATAATTGTACCCATACAATAATATTGTCTAATTATTTTATACATTTTTTATGCATATTCAAATAATGTTTGTTAAAAATCCAGAGTTTAATTTAATTTTCAAAAAAAAAAAAAACTATTTTCCGAATATAGTTATCATACTCTAAAATGTTCCTACGTTTAAGTTTTGTTTAAACTTTCATATACATGGGATGATACAAATAATATCTGCATTTAATGGCGTGGTGATCGCGCGTATGATCTGTAACATATTCAGGAAGGCGTTTCGTGGAACTGTTAAGTCATTTGCCGCAGAGCCTGATAACCGACAGAAGCCCACAAGATTCATCCTGTATTTTAGGAAACCTCAAAATCATCTTGCAGCTTTTTATAATCTCTTTTTTCCTTTCAGAAACAAGGAAAGCGAAACTCTGGGGCTGAAAATACCGGTCGGTGAAAAATATTATACTTGGAGCTGCAGGTCATTTTAATGAGACCCTATTCATGGCACTTAGAATTCACTACAAAACGCATAGTACATATATATATATCCATAGCATTTTTTTTTATTAAAGGCATCCAAAGAAGACCAAATTCGGGTTACTTTCTTCTCCTCTAGGATGTAAAATGATATTGAGGTACTTTTGAATAGTTTAATGTTGTTAAAGAAAACGTCTTGTTAATCTAACGTACTATTACCTCACTGCTCGAAAATACAGAGTAATCATCTTACTGTATAGTAATGTTGCCAACTTTAATAGTAGTAAGTAATAGTAATGTTGCCAACTTCGAGAAGCATAACATGTGGAACCCCGTAAATACAACAAATTCCTAGTCTTCTTTCTTTTTTTCCCGCATTTATTTCAAAGGTCCGCTAAGTGACGATGTTTTCGATTGGAACGATGACATTAAAACAGATGCATTGAATGTTATTACACAATAGAAAGCAGATTTCTACTAAAAGACAACTTTAACCTGATTCGCCAAGGGTGGAAGTGCTTTAGCATCGAAAGAAATTTTTTTGGAAATGGAGGGAATCGATAGATTCGCTCTATTTAAAGCATCTTGTATTTGAAGCTGTATTTGAAATTACTTCAAATGATGAAATGATAATTAATTACTTCAAATGGGTGAATCTATTGGTTTATTCATTTTAAATACATAATTTGCATACTATTAGTAGTTATAATTATATGTATTAATTCATACCGTAGCTACAGAACCTTCAAAAAGACTGAATGAAAAAATTAAAAAAAAAAAAAAAAAAAACCTTACAGTATACCGACAAGGGCATGCCAAAGTAAATAAAACAATATATAGTAGATATCAAATAAACATTTTCTTATTTCAACATTCTGCAATCAAAATTTAATGCATGTAATAAAAATAGTTCATTTAATTAATACTTACAAAAGTCGACCTTGCCCCAACCTGACGCAAGGCAATTGAATTGTTGTCCAAGAAAAGTGTCAGTTTCCTTTGGCAGACAAATAGGTTTTATGTGAGAATTTTCCGGTACAGGTTCGGCCAATTTCATCAAGGCAATGTCATTGTCATAACCATGATACCAAGGGTAATAAAAAATTTGACTTATGGCAATTTTTTTTTCACTGTCTTCCCATTCTTTCAGGTTGTGTTCTCCAACTCGAGCCTTCCAATATGTAGGATGAGGCAATACAAACATGGGACTGTTGCAAATTAAAAGATATTTAGAACTGATGTGCTGTAAAAGGCTAATCAAAAACATATACAAATACCACTACAGCAAAACTATTAATTACAACAGAAAAGAAAGGGCTTTAATTAATGCTCTAAATATCTAACGGAGAAAGTTCAAAATTGGGAGCGCATTTGTAAAATCATTTATTATTTCAAAAGTGAATTTACAAAATGACTTAAATTTACAAAATACCAGCCTTAGCAAAAATCTTAATTTTTATCTCAGTTAAAAGCTAAACACATTGTATCAATATCACCTTGGAAGTGTTCAAAATTTTCAGATATTTTTGAAATTCTTTGCATTTTCCACCTTGTACATAGAAATTTTATTGTATTTTCAATTCGTTAAAACTTTGACTTTTTCCTTCTCACTCCTTTTCATCCTTTCATATTATTTGCTCATGCCAGACTGAAGCAAATTTAATTACTTCATAGAAAAAGTGGTGAAGAACACGAAATTATGCTGTATGCTGCTCTTATAGATAAACTAGCTCTTAAATTCTACTGCCACGCCACAAAAATGCACTAGAGTGGGTTATTAGGCTATGGCTGAGTTTAAGAAACACCCTTACGGGTAAGTGAATTTACGTAAATTCGAGAAGTTTTAATTTAGAGGTACAAAAGAAGTGTTTCTCTTCAGGATTTTAAGCGTTACTTTGCTTTAGACACTTCATTTTGTAACTAAGATGAAATTGTAATTTCCTTAATATATTACCTTATAAGCCCAAAATCATGGTCTGATAAATTTTAGTTATTTTTTTTTACTTTCATGGATTTATTTAAAGTTTCAGTTAATCTGATGAAGCAATGTCAAAACTGTAACTAAACACACGGTGATGAATGTTGCTTAGTTATTAAACAGAAATAGCTAGAAAGTAGTTTTAACACAGACCTTGCAAATGAACTTAATTTTTGTATTTTCGTTTTTAATTATGACTAACTAAGAGTGATTCCCATATTGACATAGATTTCAAGTTGCCGTCCCAAATAAATAATTTTCAGAATACCGACCAAGCTGGCTTATGCATGTAATATAGTGTTAGTAAAACAATAAATTTCGATCATCTCGTATTTTACTTTCTGAATACAAAGAAGTATTCATTTCGCCTGTTGCATAATTTCATATAAACAAAAAGTGAATCTGGTATTTACAAAGAGATTTAATGTGAACTGATCTGTTCTCGTGCAATTCAGTTTTCCTTTTTTAAATTTAAATTCAGAAACACAGATATTTTATTGCGAAATATTGAAGTTTAGCTTTTTTAACTGTTTTTGATATTATACTTTTCCCCTTATGAATAATTAATTGCAGTTCAATCCAGAGAAATTCCTTGTATTCTACTTCCTTATTTATAATAACTGATATTTAAGTCAGAAAGATGCTTTATTGCTTCACTAAAAAATATTTAGTTGTAATGTTACGTATGGAATAACTCAAGAAGAGGCATGTGAAAACTTGCCTCTTCTTGAATTTGAACATGTGAAAACTTCAAGTTGCCAAATCTGTAGACACTAAAGAAACAGCGGAAAAGTACTCAACTGATAGTGGTTAGATTTATCAACAGCAATAGGGGCGTGGAATAGGATACCTTTCATAACCGTAAAAAATTCTGAAGAATAAGACTTTTCAATCAAAGCGTTCTAGAAATATTAGTAAAAAGAATGCCCATGAATTTTTCATTTGGCTTTCGAACACTAATAGTAATTGTACCCATTCTATTTTGTTTTCAATTAAACTGTTAATAATTGTGTTGGCTAGTATTAAGAAACCAAAAAGAGATGTTCGTAGGGAAGAAAACTATGCTTTCTGGATCACATAGAACGTCAATTTGTATTGATTCACATTTAATTTATTATACATTCAACTGATAATCATGGCGAAAGAAAAGATAAACTGCAGAAGGACAACCGCAAAAACACAGCAGTACTAGTTTTGTGTCTTAATACCTTAAAGATGGATGAAAGTCTACGATTACCAACTATAACGTTAGTCCTGGTCTCATCGATAGGAAAACAAAAAAAAAAAAAAAAAAAAAAAAGAATCCTGATTTCACAGTAATCACTTTAGCCTTATGCATGACTTAAAGTTCACTCTTCTTCTACCAATCTTTTAACCATTTCCGGCACGCTACCTTTTAAAGTCGGAGTTTTGATCAGAAAAAAAAAAAAAAAAAAAAAAAGGACGCAGCTAATTAGGCCTAGAGGAGTACACAAGTAAAATTTTGTGAAGATAGCCCGTATCGTTTTAATTCTGTGGGTATGCCCAAAGTGGCACACTCATTGAATACAGCTTCAAAAGGTTGCTGAAACGAGCATTGTTGTCAATGAACTGACCGATGAGATGCGGAGAAATAAAGAATACAGACTCTCAGTTGTCCTAGATTATCGGTGAGCCCGATCTAGGCACACCTAGGGTTCGCCGTTTGATTTTAGGCAAGATTTCAAGGTAAAAATTTAAAACTAATATAGAATAAGGAGATTAGCATACAGCCAAAAACATACCATAGAAATTTCTTTTCAAACAATTCCTTTTATACCCTAAAAAAATCTGGAAGATTTCTTTGAAAAATGAGGGTCTTAAAAAATTAAACATGGCAAAATATATGGACTGGTTTGTTTTGAACTGCCATCTACTATAAATAAAGAAGGTTCAGAGTAACCTATAGTAACCTATAAATCCTTTTTCACTCAATTTTTCTGTGTCCAGACCGGACACACTGTGCCGCAAAGGGTTAAATTGTTTTTCTCACAAAGGTTATATTTTTGAGTTGTCGTTTAAAGTATTTATTTCAGTGACAGTCACTTGAAGTGTTACGAACTAAACACCAAAATACTATACAAGATTTGCTCTGTGACTTCACTGGCTCCTTATCTGCACAAAATCGACTACTCCCACTGTGTCATCGTTTCCTCCCACTTCTGTAAGAAAACGACGTCAGCGTTAGGAAGAGATCTAAACTTGCTTATCTACTGGCCTTGCTAAACACCGTGGAAAACTAAAAATCATCAAAACGTGAACCAGTTTTTTATAACCTGCAAATAGATTTTGGCCATGACAGCAAAAACGTATCTGTCGTTAAATGAGGCAAAGCATGCGAGGATATCTGTCTAACAGGAGAGATGCTTTAGTGAACGATTTTCTAAGAAAAGGTGATTCGTTCACATGGAGATTCATCTTACGTTTTACCTCATCTATGAAGAAAATCACGAAAACTCCCATGCAACCAGTCTGCTTCCATGATACGAATCCTTGTCGAATTACCAGTGATCAGCGATCTTACCCACAAGACCATTGGTGGGAGAACCACAAAATGCAAATAAAGCACTATATATAACTCCAAATGAGCGTCACCGCTGAAAAATAATTTTTTTGTGCACAATATTGCCGAATAAAGAGAAAACCCAACTAATACGTACAAAAAACATGACAAAACAGGTTGAAAGTGCGCATTATGCAGCAAATTAAAGAGTTATGGGAATAAATGAAAGAGCTGATCGCAAAGTGGACGACGCCTGTATTCAACTTTCATCTGTATGCATTTAACAATCTTTTAAGAATTAACGTTTAAGCTTATTTCACATATAGTGTCTGAAGAATTTTAATTTATTTATTCATAAAATTGTTTATTATAAATGAAAACTAAATGGTTACTAAATATAGCCATAAAAGGGTAATATAGAATAAAGTAGAAATACATAAAGTAGAATCTACGATTTATGTTAAGAAAATCTTGAATACACCAGAAGTTTTATGCTCTTAGAGCTTATAACAAAGAAATTAAAACAACTTTTTTTTAGCTTAAAGAGAAGGGCATCTCAGTGTAGTTGGAAAATTAAGTTTAATTTTAAAATGATAATCTAATCATACTTCGTTTTAAAACTCATATTTTTATCCCTCAGTAATATTTCTAATTATTTTAATTAAATGAAGGTATTATAATTAGTTCTGTATAAATCATTCTTAATTTAAATTACAGTTAATACTAATTAGTAAACTAATTAGAAAGCCCATAACCTAATATTATGATATGAACGGTTACTTTCAACTTAAATAAGGCTTAATATGAAATGCATCATTAATTGATGTCATGATTGGATTAACGAAACTCCACTGATCGTTGCTGATTTTTATCTACAACAAATAAATCTTCTTGAAAGTGATAATAACTGTTAATAAAATATTTTCTTTACATTTGGTTGCATTACTTTTTCTTCCAACAACAGGAACTTTTCATGAAAAACTGAATGAATATACAGTATAACAAAAACTATTTGAATGCTCGAAAAGGAGACAAAATCTAATGCTGGTACCAAAAATAATTTCAATCATATAATTGTAAATACATACACACAGTTTTATCAAAAATTTGTTTGAAGCTTATTTGTTTTACTAATCATTTATTTGTTTGAAGTTTGTTGTTAAAATTTTGTTTGAAAGTGATAATAACTGTTTATAAAATGTTTTCTTTATGTTTGATTGCATTACTTTTTCTTCCAACAACAGGAAGTTTTCATGAAAAATTGAAAGAATAAAGAATATGACAAAAAATTTGAATGCTTAAAAAAGAGAGAGAGAATCTAATGTTGCTATCAAAAATAACTTAAATCATGTAGTTGTTAATACGTAAATACAGTTTTAGTAAAAATTTAAAATGAATTAAAGCCTTTTTTCCTGTCTGTCATGGAAAATGCTTTTTACAAAATACCAGAGTTAATGTTTGAATTATACAAGGTGTCTGAGAAAGATCTTTGTTATTACAGAAATGAATGCCGCACACAGAAATGAATTGATCCAATGATAATGCGTTGTGCAGTGAAAGAAAACCCAAAACGTTTTCAGCTCAAATCTTTACCATGGTGCTTTCATCCTAAACTTTAAAAAGCGACAATACCGGAAAAGCGCGATAAGTTAAAACAACAGTAGTTTGGTCCGGGGTTCGAATCCCGACGAAAGGGCTGGCTGGATATC